TTGCACTACCCTAAAACTGCCTTTGCCTTTAAGTTAGAAGCACATAAGAACATGAAAAGAGCCCCACTAGATCAGACCAATGGCTCATCTAGTCCAGCATCTGCACTCACAGTGTCCAACCAGGTGCCTGTGGGAAGTTCGCAAGCCGGACCTGAGCTCATCAGCACCCTCCCCACTTGTGATTCCCAGCAGACTGCCTTTGACAGTGGAGGCAGTCCATTGATTTCAATGGGTCTGCTCTGAGCATGTCATAGGTAGCACCCAGAAGCTCCATTACTAGTAGTTGTTTCACAAACACAACAGAATTGAAAGTCATGGAGGATTAATTCCAAAATGGGAAACGATGAATAGTTACAAAACCAATGAACTGGCTGAGGTATTTGTAGGTCTCAGATGATTCAGAAACTCATACAAGTGAAAAACTAGTAACATTTGACTGGTAAATTGAACAGCTCTGTTCACAAATATTTCCATCTTCTCGTTAACTCAGCAACCTTCTCTCCCCTACGCTTTGAGTTTGGAGAATTTTCAAATAGTTCTCTTCGGCTGCTCTGCACATTATTTTTCCACTTGGCTAGAGATTTGGAAACTAGAGTCAAGTTCAGTTGACAACCCTATACATCATGCCCTTTAGATTGCAGGAACCTGATCACATTTATCTCTGTTCTCACAATGGTTCTGCTCACAACTGTTTCTCCACATAATTCAGAGAAAACAGTATTTTATCTTAGATACAGTGTTGCCTAATCTAAAAAGTTTCAGAAGCCTTCTCAGGGGGCTCCAGGCAGACTACCATTTTGAACCAGAACCAATGGTGAGAAAGGCTTGTCTTCCTTTGCAACTTGCTGTCCTCCTTTCACTGTTACTGCTCTGCCTTCCCTTTTTTTGAGTCTTTCTCAAGGCCATCCTTACCCATACTGTGTGAGACAACCATCCACCTCAGCTAGCAGGTGCTGGGGGTGAGAGGGATCAGCAGCAGAGGGTCTTAGACCACAGAGCTGTGTCTTCAATCACTACATGAGCACATGAATGCAGAAAACAACATTTTACATTGTGAAGGATAAATTTCAGCACCTTCTTTCACGTGTGAGGACATGCACTTCAGTGCTGAAATGTAAATTTTGTTGCTGGAAAGAAGACACTAAATTTCATTCTGCCATTAACTGCAGACTACAAAAGAGAATTTTGGTCTCAACAGTGAACATTTAAGTAAGCACCCCATTATTATGTTTACAATTAAGCTCAAGTTTTATTATTTGCACTGTCGAACTTGACGTGCAAAATGCATGCCAGGTTCAGTGCATCTTTATTTATATTTTGCTTACTATTTACAGCTGTCTCTATGCAGTTCATACGATAAATGGTAGCAGGCAGGAGGTTTAATATGGGAACCAAGGGGTTTTTCAAGAGAGTAAGCAGCTCAGCTTCAGCATCTTCAGGTCAAAAGAGCAGATTGATCTGTAAGATCTGCCACTTAGTTATCTTTTCCTTAACTGAACTTCACTGGTAAAATACTCCAACAGTGGCCCAGTTGAGAGCAAACATTTCCCATTCTTGTGCCCATGATTACAAGTGTAAGAGTGCCCAGCCGATTTGCATTCATTCTCTCATCGTCATCATTTTATTCGTATGGCCCTCTGTCTCTGAAACCTGCACATCCTTCCTCCCTCTGCAAAGTAGCCTTAACTCTGTGCTGATCATGACCTCAAACCATGGTTAGCTTGAAAACAGCAGCCTTAATGTTGCACACAACACTAAGACATAGTTTAAAGTAAACCCAATAGTTCCCATTCGCTCTTGCTTTTGCCATGCCAGGAAGAAACAATGTGGACCAGTGATCACAGTTGGTTTCCTGCAAACAAACCAGAAGCAGTAAGCTAAGAACAAACCCTGGCTTATTTGGAGAGAAACAAACCACAGGCACTGGTTCAAACGTAGCTCTCTGATTTACTTCTTCCCAGAAAACTGGGCACTGTTGAGCATGTGCAATAGCACAAGGTGTTATGCCTCTTCCTGCACATGAAGAAGGTCAAGGTCTGACCCCAGTGCTTGAAGCTGGTTTGCTTGAAGCTGGTTTGCAAACCATAATTAAGAGTAACCGTGGTTAGCATTAGCCTCAGTGCCAACACAGCACTAAACCATGATTAATTATGAAAGGGGACGAGATGAGGGGTATTTATGCATAAGCTATTGTTCTTATATTCAGTCAGGAAATTTTAGGTCTGCCCAAGACCATTCCCACACAAAGTGATGAGTGATGGCAACTGTAAAAATAGCACTAAATAAATTAACACCTGGAACAATCTAGCAAGTGCAATGCGCTTTTAAGTAACTCTGAATTCAATGTGAGAGAATGAAACACTTGTCTAAACCATGACCAATGAAATCAAAGGGACTTAACTTTGGTTGGCATGTGCCCAAAATGTGAATGTAATGAAGAATTACCTAATATCCAACATACAGCTGGCACTGCAGTGAGCACAAACTAAAAAGTCACACTTGCCAATCTTACTGCTCCCCACTTCGCTAACCCTGACACCTGAAATCTACCATTTAATTATGGGCTCTTCTAAAGTCAGTTACTGTACAGGGCTAATGAGTGTACTTGTATTTAGTCCTATTAACTTTGGCTCACATTGAAGAAGAACAGATTATGATGTTTTATATTATATCTACATGCAATGGCATGCACCTTTCTTCTATTCCAGCGGCACATGCCAAGGTGAAGAAAGGTTTTTGTCTCATCAGAGTATGTTAACTGAGTTTGTATAATTAAAATAAATAAAACCAGGTTTGTTTGTGTGTTTTTTAAAAAAATCCACCTTCTTCCATATTTCACCTTCTTCATATACTTTGGTAATTATGTCTATGTTATGACACAAAACGTTCAGGCTTCTAAGCAGCTTGCAGGTTTTTCAATTCCAGCTGCAAAGTACACAATTATAAACTGAAGTTTAATTAAGTATGCATTGCTTGCAGCAGTTGTTTAATCACAGGGCCATCAAAGTGTGTTTCCAAAAATCTTCATAAACAGAATCTTTTAAAGTAAATGGTAGGTTGGCACATTCTCCAAAGAAAGAAACCATGCAATGCATTAATTTTTAGCTCTTTGGAAATGTTTGCTCTCAGTCTGCAAAAATGGCCTCAGTCCAGAAATGAATCTAATCTAAATTACCAGTTTGCTCGACCAAAACTTGACCATTTTGAAGGCAGATAAAATATAGAACTATGTGGGGCTTAAAAAAAAAACTGCATTCACAGCAATCAAGTGGAAAGATCTGGGGTAGAGATATTTTGAAGATCTACACAACTTGTGACCAATCAAGCCAATAAAATCCACCATTTATACGCAGTGATCCAGGGACCCCAAGCCCTAGATCTTTTGCAGTGGAAGGCCCCAGATCTGCAGATCCTTCTGTCCTTTATTATTATTTTTTAAAGAGACAACAATAACTTTGCAAATTCAGCGGCTGGATGCACGGCAAAGTGCCCTGCTGGTGAGATCTCAGCCTCTTCCTGCAAACATCTATGCACATCTTTTTAAGCATATGTAATTTTTTTAAGCATATGTAAGTTAAACCTTGTGCAAATTTGCAGCCACCCACCAATGTGGATGGGACAAGCAGGTGTCTTTGGGAATCACAGAAGCAGGACTTGAAAGCAATAGATTGTTGGGCTCAATGTTTGCCGGCAAACATTTTCAGCACAAACATTGTGCTTTCAGGTGGACTGAAATATGCTCTGTTTTGTATAAGGCAATATATACCCATGTTATATTGCCATTGGGACGTGGGTGGCGCTGTGCGTTAAACCACAGAGCCTAGGACTTGCCGATCAGAAGGTCGGCGGTTCAAATCCCCGTGACGGGGTGAGCTCCCATTGCTCTGTCCCTGCTCCTGCCAACCTAGCAGTTGGAAAGCACATCAAAGTGCAAGTAGATAAATAGGTACCGCTCTGGCAGGAAGGTAAACAGGATTCCGTGTTTCCCCAGAATGTCTGCTTTATATACATTATTTACACAATGGGTCCCACGTGATTGGCTAATTCCGGGATTCAGCTGTAGGCCGATCAGGTTGCGGATTCACTTCTATGTGGAGCTGGATTGGGTGGCTCCTGTGGACCAATCAGACTGCTGCATTCTGGATCCTATTGTTCTAGGACCAATCAGACTGCTGCATTCTGAATCCTATTGTTCTAGGACCAATCAGACTGCTGCATTCTGAATCATATTATTCTAGGACCAATCAGACTGCTGCATTTTGGATCCTATTCAACTCAGTACATAACAGAAAGTATGTGCTCTAAAGGTATAGAATGGGAACAGCCTTCTTTGAGTGCTGGATTCAGAGTGGTATGGGCAGTTCCCACACACAGAGCACTGAGCCAAGGGGACAATTGAGAAAACCCATTTGGGGGTGCCAAATTTTGGACTTGCTCAGGGCGCCATATTTGCAAAGATTACCAAGGTCTGCCTCTGCATTAGATGTTAGGAACAGAGACAGCTGTCTTAGGCTACTGCAGACTGTTTATCCATTTAGCTCAGTGTTGTCTAATGTCTACTCTGACTGACAGCAGCTCCTCTGGGCCACGGTCAGGGATAATTCGCACCACTCGCTATCTGTCCCTTTTAAATGGAAGTGGCTCAGGGACTGAAGCTGCGAAACCCATGGTCTATCAGGGCGGGGGCAGGGGGGTTCCTTCTCAACCCCAATGAGTGGAGGAATGAACTGGGCTTGAAATGAACTTTCTCTGGTGTTATGTGAGGGCAGAGAATCAAATCTCTCCGTTTCTTTCCTTCGCAGCCATATTGCTGCAGTCTTGAGTTAGCATGACAAAAGTTAATGGCTGAAAGAAACACCCCAATTTATAAGGCAGTAAAAAAAGAGCTGTGTATTAAGATGCTGCAATTCACTCCTTTGAACTTTCAGGAAATGTCTTTGGTTTTAATAGCACACCTTCAATTATATACACTCAGAGAGAGGGATTTTTTTCATAGCAATACCCTGCCTGTTTATTACTTTTTAACAGAAAAAGTGAGCTGCATCAAAGACACTGTTCATATACTTAGTGTGGAACGTGGAGAGTCGTATCTGAGTATATATTAGGGTACATGTCAGACATTTTGTGAAAGTTAGCATTTATTGTACAGGTGGGCAAGGAAGTTACAGCAATGGCTCACCTCTTCAAAAGGATATGGTAGAATGTAATGCTAATGTCCAATGCTAAGATGAAGGACTACCAGACTTGAGTGTTGAGCACAATTGCCTCCAGCTTCACTCCTTCTTCCTAATAGTAGTGATATCATCATTTATTCAGTCAGAACTGGCTTCATGATGATGTCTCTGAAGCTAATTCAGGATGAGAGCAAGGCTCCTCTTTGCCCTCAGTGCTTGCTCTTGGTGACATCATCTGATTGGCTCCATGGCGTCACTGTAAACTGGAGGAAGAGTGGAAATGAGACTAACAATACCTGACTGAAAAGTAATGTGAGAGGACTAAGAAAGGGAGACCTGAGGGGTTTGGGCAAACACACCCACTCAGTTCCTTTTTCATGTCAAATGTGTTTGCTAGAGAACATTCAGCTTAACCTGGTTAATCCCTTTGGTGGCCATGGAATCAAAACAGCTCAGAAGGGACTGACCAGGTAGATCAAGGATGGCGAACCTATAACTCTCCAGATGTGTTCAGACTCCTTTCCTGGTCAGCGATCAGGGGTGATGGAAGTTGCAGTTCAGCAACAACTAGGAGGTGAAATGTTGAGTGGTATAAGAGAACACACATAGGAGAATTAGGAGAATGAATGAGCAGCGTTTGGATGTCTTATTAAAATATTCCCTGACAGGAGCTCCAGATGATTTACAGATAAAATAAAAACAGCTAAAAGCATAAAGAGAGAAAGGCCATCATTTAAAAAACAATGAAACATTAATAGAATTAAATCTTTCTCTCTCTCTATATATGTGTGTGTGTGTGTGTGTGATATTAAAAAAAAATACAATCACAACAAAAACAGCACAGAACTAACTGTGCCAAGGTACAATACAATTGTGTTATGAGAGGCATCATCTTAGCACTAGTATCTTGGAACAAGCTATTTCCCTGCCTGAGGTAAAAGACAATACAGTGGTACCTCAGGTTACATACGCTTCAGGCTACATACGCTTCAAGTTACAGACTCCGCTAACCCAGAAATTGTGCTTCGGGTTAAGAACTTTGCTTCAGGATGAGAACAGAAATCGTGCTCCGGCGGTGCGGTGGCAGCAGGAGGCCCCATTAGCTAAAGTGGTGCTTCAGGTTAAGAACAGTTTCAGGTTAAGAACGGACTTCCGGAACGAATTAAGTGCTTAACCCGAGGTACCACTGTATATCACCCCACCACCCTCATCCCAATTCTTTGTAGAGCAGCTAACTAGACCGGCAATTGAATCATACTTCAAAATTGGCTGCCTCTTGTACCTATGGCAGTGTGGTGCACAATGCTCTAGCCTCCAGCACCTCTCTACCACACCCTGCTCAACAGTTTCTGCCACCTGAAGCAGCTGTCTCTCTGTGTGTGTCTAATGGTGAGACCAACCCTGTATATTAGATCAAATGAAGAATGCCTCTCTTAAAATAGAGCTTTTCATCTGCAGTTGTATATAGAGAAATAGAGAGATCTGCCGCCTAGTTAATTGGTGACACCATTTTAGACAAATGAGTTTTTTAATCTAATTGATAAATCAATTAAATGTTGCAGTACTTGTAGCTACCCATAGGGATTAAATAGAGAACAATTGTACACATCAAATCTGAGGAGGCTAACGTGGTTGTAGCCAGAACAGCGTTAACATAATACAGGACTGTGCCTGTATTATGCAAGAAGGCCCACAAAAGGAAATGGATGCTTTCCCCCCTGTTCTTTTTCATCCATAACACAGTTCATTCACACACCCGCATACAATTGGCTATCGCGCGTCCCTTAACAAAGACCGTAGCCAACTCACACTTGCAGTGGGCGGTTGAGTCATGCCATCCATGAAATCCTCATTTTTCAGTTATGAAAATTTATCCCGATGCAAAAGGTACCTCATTGTCTACGCTCTGTTTTAATATGAGGAAATGCAGGATGTGGGGGTGGATGTGACTCTTATAAGACTCCAGCCATGAAGATTAAGCTAGTGAGGGTATAAACAGAGCAGAAAGCTTGCAATAAATACTAGTCTGCACCAGGACCCTCTAGAGATGGATGATTTGAGCGATTAAGGGGCACTGCCTTGTCTGGATTCTAAGGAACATCCTAAGAGTCGTTACGAAACAACTAGTTATCTCTCACTTGAACCACTGCAATGCACTCTACGTGGGGCTACCTTTGAAGGTGACCCGGAAACTGCAACTAATCCAGAATGCAGCAGCTAGACTGGTGACTGGGAGCGGCCACCGAGACCACATAACACTGATCTTGAAAGACCTACATTGGCTCCCAGTACGTTTCCGAGCACAATTCAAAGTGTTAGTGCTGACCTTTAAAGCCCTAAACCACTTTCGCCCAGTATACCTGAAGGAGCATCTCCACCCCCATCGTTCAGCCTGGACACTGAGGCCCAGCTCAGAGGGCCTTCTGGCGGTTCCCTCACTGCGAGATGTGAGGTTACAGGGAACCAGGCACCCTGTGGAATGCCCTCCTATCAGATGTCAAGGAAATAAACAACTATCTGACTTTTAGAAGACATCTGAAGGCAGCCCTGTTTGGGGAAGTTTTTAATGTTTGATGTTTTATTGTATTTTTAATATTTTGTAGGAGCTGCCCAGAGTGGCTGGGGAAACCCAGCCTGATGGGCGGGGTATAAATACCGTATTTTTCGCTCTATAAGACGCACCAGACCACAAGACGCACCTAGTTTTTGGAGGAGGAAAATAAGAAAAAAAATATTCTGAATCTCAGAAGCCAGAACAGCAAGAGGGATCGCTACACAGTGAAAGCAGCAATCCCTCTTGCTGTTCTGGCTTCTGGCAGCCTGCATTCGCTCCATAAGACGCACACACATTTCCCCTTACTTTTTAAGAGGGAAAAAGTGAGTCTTATAGAGCAAAAAATACGGTAAGTTGTTGTTGTTTTGTTTTGGTGTTTTATGGGCACCATTTATATGCCCCAAATAGTGTGCTGCCTAGTCCCCCCAATAACACATGCTTCTTTGTGATGAGGCTACCTTATTACTTCCAAAATCCCCCTTTGCGGAATCTATCTTATTACAGTGTCTGCAAAAGTGTGCCTCCCTCCTTCTGTTTATTTTATTCCAACAGCAATAATGTGTTCCACACAAACACTGCTGCTTGTTTCTTTATTGTTTGCTTTGTTGGTATGTTGTTGCTTTTGAAAACTTAACAAAGATATTTTTAAAACAAGATGCTTTGTTCAAAAATGGCACCCATCTACTCCCCCCCCCCACCTGTGTCCACTTTTATCCGTTTTTATCATCTCAGGATTCTGCTCCCTCATTCCGCTTGATGTGTCGACCAGACAAACTAAATCCACTGACTTCGAGACAATATGAAAGCTGTTTGTGTGATGTGTGTCTAGTGTCATTTGCACATTCAAATCATCACTTGATGGTGCAGCCATCCTGAGGTGACCTTCCATGCAAAGAGCTCACCTGTTTAAACTAAGAACATGTATATTCATGTGCTATAGATGTTCCGTGTGCCATTCATCTGGGTGTGGCAGTAAAAGCTACAGAAATTAAAGCTGTCTTCACAATGCTTTTTTAAAAAATAATAATAATAATCACTGTTTTCAATTCATCACATTTTGGATAGAAACGTGAAGCATGCAGAAAGATTTACTCTTCTGTTATCTTATCTAATCATGACCATAACATGCATGTACACTCCACCACTGTCTTCCGCTCATGTGTCCTCCCCCATGTCAAGGAATCAAAAAGCCTTTTTCTGAGGAAACATTTACCTCATAAGATATAACGCAAGTAGGTCCAATACTATCACCGTACCTATGAAGAATGCAAATGCTATTATTTGTTGACAGAGAAGTTAGCAACCAGTTTGCAGCTCCCAAGAGGTTTGAGGGAGTAGAGAAGGGAGGGAAGATAGCTAGATTCCTCGTTCCTTAGCTGGATTTCCAAATATGTACTTGATGATCCTTTGAACAAGATGGTGCTCCTGACGGAATAAAAGGTGGTCAAGTGGGTTAATGATCTATGGGCAATATGCCTACTCCCAAATTCAATACTGCTGCGCTAAATGTTTGCTTTATTTCTGTCCCAAGATCAACTGCTGAAGAATTGAGCAAAAAGGGTTGCTTTAAAGTTTCTGCAGATACTGTAGCAGGAGAACTTACAGACCGGAATTAGATTGCAGCAAAATCTTTGTCAATTACTAGGGTACTCTGTCACAAAATGTTGCAGTACATTTTCACCCGGGCTGTAAGTCTTGATTCTGATTCAGGATTCCAATGAGCCAGCCCGCTCACAGGTCTTTATAATATCAGTGAAAACAGTTGGTCCTGGAGAATATTAACTGCTTTCAATTTTAATCTGAGGGTTGTCATTTGTTCAGTTCTAATTTTAATTTTAATTTATTTGAATTAATTTTGGGATGCATTTTAATCGATTTATTGCTTGTTTTTATTCATATTTTATTATTTCTATGATGTTAGCCACTCTGAGCCCGGCTCTGGCCGGGGAGGACAGGTACAAATAAAATTATTATTAATTATTATTATTATTATTAGCTGTTAAGGGCTCAAAGCAAGTCCATTCAATCTTCTTCCTCCTCTCTTGGTTTTGCATTTTTCTTCTCTGACATTATTCTGAGGTCCACAGAGCATATTCAGAGTAAGGATGGCATGATGTCCTATGATATGCTACAATATTGCACTGAGATCTTACCTTGACTTTTAATGCCCTAGGGACCAATAGTACTCTGTCTTTGTCTTTTATCTGAGGTCCAGCCTAGAGTCTTTGCTTTGTTAATGGCTCATCTCCCTCTCTTTTATTCTCTTAATGGCTCCTTACCCAGGCAATTTCCTTACGAGTAAACTAACCTGGCTTATATTTTAACACCTGCTGAATCCAGGGGTTAAAAGGTCTGGCACCCACAAACTCACAACAAAGGGGAGTCTGGTACCCACAAGCTCATAACAATACACTTTCCAGATAGATGAGATTGTCCGTGGCTCAACACTGAGTATGTACTCGATAGGAAACCTCTGTCTGCCTCTGGGTGCATTGATAGTCCATATAATTACAGGACTGAAGAACTGGAATTCCTGACCTGAAGATTCCCCAAGAATCCCTAGAAGATTAGGTCATATTGCATCCCTAGAAGATTAGGTCATATTGCAGGCTCGGGCCAGGTTATACAACAGGCCACAAATCAAGAGCAGGTGGGATTGAAGAGTACTATGCTAGAGGTGTTTGTAAGGCTAGTCATTGCTTAACACAAAACATGCTGTGGAAGCTCAAGCAACCCAGCCAGATTGTACTCCATAAGAAAGGGAGGGGATGGGCACGACACTCACTAGCCAATCTGTTCTGAGGAGAAATTTCTTGCCATCCACACACACAAACAAAAAACCATGGGGAATCACTTTGATTCTGAACATGAAAGCAAGAGGTGTTCTCTTCATTTCAGGGAAAATATATTATTAGCATTTTTAATTACTACTATCCAATATCCCACTTGAGTTACCTCAAAGAAGGAAGATTGCCCCCGCCTTCCCTTTGCCAGTCTATTAGTCAGTCAGGCATAAGATGAAAAGTCTCCATGCAGTATACTTCATAAGTGTTAACTCACTCTGTTTCAAAGTGAGTGAGTTCCTTTACTCCAGTGGCTCTAGGGGGA